CGTTCCAGTTCATCTTTCAGGTCTTCAGATGTCTTCCTCCCGATCTCTTGGTCGACTTGACGAACGAAAACTGATCCTTTTGCTTTTTGCTCTGGTGGCATGACAACAACAAGGCCTTCATTGTAAAATACATCTCTGGCTTCTTCTGAAAGGATTTTGTCTGAATCAAAGTCATCTTTACAGATTACTTTGAAACCTTCGTTGGTGCTGAATATTTTTGTTAGTGGGACTTGCAATTTGTTGTAAGTGATTTCTGCCACTTTTCCTCTTCCAATAGGGTGTCCCTTATCTCTATGTTTTATTCTAATGCTTGTAGTCATCTTCCTTGATTACATTCTAATCCTACCTATAACACAGGGCTCCTGCCTGGGAGCAGTGACCCCGCCCCCCCCTCTTGGACGGGCGTCGGGCTCGTAGGGTTCTGCACCCAGGTTACCTGTGACTATAGTTATGTCTAAGAAAGTTGCCACCTACCGGTGACCCCCGGACAAGGGTGCCCTGCACTATCACAGGTTCCCTTGCCGGATCGACCGTATCGCTAAGTCCCGCCTCCCGTTCAAGGAACGGAGTGCATGAGGGGGATGAAAAAAGGAAAGAAGAGGACTTAGAGAGTAGAGACAGCCTACCTACCACGCCACGTTCGGTTCGCCAATCAGAGCCCCGCAATAAACGTGCATGTATCACGCCACCATGGGGCAACACTGATTGGCCAATCCAGGACGTAGACGCACGGGTAGTAGTCAAAATTTGGGGAGCCCAAATATTTGTTTTCCAGAAGTTGGAATTTTCCGTACAATCTGTGATGGTAATTGCACCGTCACTATGTTGAGTAAGTACAATCACTAGGATTGAGTGTCCTATCACAACGAAGTTGCAGACTGCTCAAACATGCAGCAAAAGAGGCAAGTCTTCGCAGCTCCGGGTCCAGCAGTCGGATTACATGGACAGAGAGAGGCTTAAATATATAGGGTGACCTTAAAAACATGAGGTCAGGTCGTAATGATGTCATCCACTAATCCCCACACCAACACACACGTAGAGGAGCTTAAGAGAAGGGGGGTGACATGACTAGTCAGGTCAGGTCAAAAATAAGGGACGCACTAAATAACTATTATACATCTAGATCAAAGGTTTTCAAAGCATTTTTAACCTTGGGCCACTAACAAATAAATTTATGTAACATATTATCAGTTTTGAACTGACCATCACTAAGGTTTATTGATTTTAATTCCTTAATCAAACTAGCTTCAACCAGAAGTCTTTCTGTGACACAAGATGATTTAAATACTTCTAAGCTTTTTTCCCAAGCAATGGGATGATTATTATTCCTAACATGAACGAACAGGGCACTGCTTTCAGATGCTGTTCTGATATTGTACTTATGTTGTTTGATTCTGAGCTGCAGTGTTTTTCCTGTCTGTCCTACATAATTACAATTACATTTGCTACATGGAATACAATAAGATCACCCTGTATATTTAAGCCTCCCTCTGTCCATGTAATCCAGTTGCCTCTGAAGATGTCTTGAATAAAGACGAAAGCTAAGGTGCTCCGTTGTTTCCCTTTTCCCGTGTTATTTTATCAAGATTTATCTTATCCACGTTTTCATTGTGGATCTACACGAGATATATATATATATATATATATATATATATATATATATATATATATATATATATATATATATATATATATATATATATAAAGTTGTAGCCTCTGTCTGTTTGTTCACGAACTCCTCCTAGGGTTTTGGAGATAGACCCCCATAACCATATATATTCTGAAACTACATTACCCAGGGTACTTGGATAAGTATATTTCATTTTGATCAAAGGGGGTCCCCGGGGGGCACAAAACCCCCACTGACAATTTCTTTCCCTTCGATATAAATGAAATTTAAACCATAGGTAAATGACCAGAAAAGATGCCTATTCACAAAATATCAGCAAATTTTAATAATATTAAGACACCCTAATGGGGGCTAAACCCCCCTATATTGATAATTTTGGAAGCCCATAACTTGAGTATTGGAACCTCTATTATCACGGGGTTCAGCAAATTTCAATAATAATAAGACACCCTAATGGGGGCTAAACCCCCCTATATTGAAAATTTTGGAAGCCCATAACTTGAGTATTGGAACCTCTATTATCACGGGGTTCAGCAAATTTCAATAATATTAAGACACCCTAATGGGGGCTAAACCCCCCTATATTGAAAATTTTGGAAGCCCATAACTTGAGTATTGGAACCTCTATTATCCCGGGCTTTTTCTATTAATTAAACGTAAAAACAACAACAAAAATTACCTCTCTTTATAGAAAAATTTGGCAAATTTAGACATTTTATCTATGACAAAACATCACTAGAATTATGGCAAGAAAAATTATTAGTTAATGCCTCTACTTTTTTAACATTTTCATTTATTTATTTTTTTTCAGATATCCATTATGCCACGGAAAAGAAAGTCCAGTTATGCAAATACTCCACATGCACAAAAGATGAGGCTTCGTCGTCAATCTGAAAGCTGTGATGCAAGGGAAGAACGACTTTCAAGGCAAAGATAGAGGCAAACAGAGTCTCGGCAAAATGAAACCTTGGGTGAGCATCAAGAAAGACAGGAGCAAGATAGATTTCGCCATATAGTTGCAAGAAGAAATGAGTCTGAAGAAGAGAGACAACAGCGTTTGATTGCTGATACATTTCGCCATATAGTTGCAAGAAGAAATGAGTCTGAAGAAGAGAGACAACAGCGTTTGATTGCTGATAGAAACAGGTATCAAAATTTAAGACAACGTGAGATTCAAAATGCTAAACGTTCTGCATTACTGTATGACAAAAATGACCCATGTAACAAGGCTGCAATTGGAGAAATGACCAAACTTTGTCAGTGTGGCGCTAAGAAATTTACTGGAGAATCACTAGGAATGTGCTGTGGAAATGGAAAGGTTACACTGGATCAATTTCCACCTCTGCCTCAGTTATTTGAAGAACTGTTCACCGGGGAAACTCAATTCAGCAAACACTTTTTGTCAAGACTCAGGGATAACAACTCTCTGTTTGCCATGACCAGCTTTGGTCACAAAGATGCATCTGTCCAAGGTTGGAATCCATCTGTAAAAATCCAAGGTCAAATTTACCATCAACTTGGGTCACTGATGCCTCCTGAAGATATAAGAGCAAGATACATTCAAGTTTACTTTTTGAACACTTTGGAAGATCAACTGAGAGCAAGAGGAGAGCATCAAAACTTGAATGCTGATATATTGGAGAGAATTACAGCCTGGTTAAATGAAAATAATCATTATGTGAGGGAGCTAAAGACTGCGCTAGAGCAAGTACGGCAAGGAAACATAAATTACAAGAAAATTGTAATTTGGGAAAATAAGCGTGCCCAGGGAGAACATGCTCGGCATTTTAATGCACCAACAGGGGCTGAAGTTGCAATTTTAATGTCAAATGAGCCTACAGAAAATAGAGATATTGTTCTTCAGTTGAAACAAGGTGGATTGAGGAGAATTTCAGAGCTACATCGATCCTATGATCCTTTGATGTATCCATTGTTTTTTCCATATGGAACAGACGGCTACCACATATATTTGCAAGGGAGAAATGGTCGGAAAGTCACACAGTTGCAGTTTTACTCTTTCCATATTATGTGCAGAGAAGGGAACCACCTCTTGCTTGGAAGGCGACTCTTCCAGCAATTCTTGGTGGATGCATACTGCAAAATAGAAACTGAAAGATTGAAGTTTTTGAGAAGAGAACAGCAAAGTCTCCGTGCTGAAAATTACTCAGATTTACGTGATAGTTTGCTTGCTGCTGATGGAGATCCAAATCAAGTTGGTCGTCGCATTGTGCTTCCAGCGACCTATACTGGTGGTCCTCGATACCTTCATGAAAAAAGGTCAGATGCGATGGCCTTTGTGAGACACTACGGAAGAGCAGATTACTTTATCACTATGACATGTAATCCACGTTGGCCCGAAATTGTTGACAATTTGGCTCCCGGACAAGAGAGTCATGATCGACCAGATATTGTTGCGAGAGTCTTCAGATTAAAAGTGAAAAGTTTATGGAACATATGAAGAAGGGAATATTTGGTACTTTGCAAGCATGGCTGTACACCATTGAGTACCAGAAGAGAGGTTTACCCCATGCACACTTTCTTTTCTGGATAGCTCCAGAGCACAAAATCAAAGCCGAAGAATATGATTTGGCAATTTCTGCAGAAATCCCTAAAAAAGAGCAAGATAAAGAACTCCATGATCTGGTCATGAAACACATGATCCATGGCCCATATGATCCCCTAAATGAAGGATCTCCATGTATGGTCGACAGAAAATGTTCCGCGCAAGGCGCAAAATAATTTCAACTAGTGTGTATATATATATATATATATATATATATATATATATATATATATATATATATATATATATATATATATATATACATATATATATATATATATATATATATATATATATATATATATATATATATATATATATATATATATATATATATATATATATATATATATATATATATATATTTCATGTAAATCCACAATGAAAACGTGGATACGATAAATCTTGATAAAATCACACGGGAAAATGGAAACAACGGAGCACCTTAGCTTTCGTCTTTATTCAAGACATCTTCAGATGTATATATATATAAATATAAATAAAATATATATATATTTAAATACATATATATATATAAATATATATATATATATATATATATATATATATATATATATATATATATTTATATATACTAATAACTTTCCTAAAAAAGAAAAGAAAACACAGAAATTCCCAGGCACTTTCGTGTAATTCACATCTTCAGAAGTGAGTACAGACTTAAGAGAAATACAAACCAAGAGTGTATATATACAGAGGAGGTGAGACCACAGTCATTGGCCTGGTCTCACCTCCTCTTATATTATCAGCATATATATACATATATATATATATGTGTGTGTGTGTGTGTGCAAGTAAATCACTGTAGGTGGGCGTGATCCAGGTATATGCTGATAACCACAATGAAACAAGAAAACACAAAGTTCCCAAGGGCTTTCGTGTAATTGGTTACTCAAGACAAGGGGTAAAACAGGACCAGGGAAGGGTAGGTTTAAATGTATACTATACAAACAGTAGGAGCGTTAGAAATAAAATAAACTTGCTGAGAGCGGTTGTATGTACAGAGAATGTAGACGTCATAGCAATCACCGAAACTTGGATGAATCTGGCGAGCAAAAATTTTTTATCAGAGTACCACAAAGGAGAGTACAACCTTTTTTACAAGGACAGGGAAAGTAGGAAGGGGGGAGGGGTCGCACTCTTCGTCAAGGATACATTAAAATATTTTATTAATTCAATAAAGGGTGAAATAGGAACATAGTCTGTATGGGTAGAAATTGCGAAAGGAAGAGAAAAACTAATTATGGGAGTGATTTGCAGGCCCCCAAGTCTTGGGAAAGAAGCAGCTCAACCCATATGGCAGTAAATGAGTAGGGCAGCAAAATATTACAACCAGTGCATTATGGGGGATTTCAACTTCAGAAATGTTGATTGGGACAACATTGTAGGTGACTATGAATCTGAAGACTTCCTAGACGCAGTACAGGACAATATTTGAAACAACTAATTACAGAACCTACTAGAGGTGACAATATATTAGACCTAGTATTAACAAATAAGGAATATATTATCAGAGATATCACAGTAGGGGAAGAACTAGGTAACAGTGATCACAGAGAAATCAGGTTCACCCTAAATTGGGAAACGAAAAACAATGACAATATGGTCAGAGTCCCAAACTTTCGATTGGCGGATTATCAGGGGTTAAGAAGGTACCTAGGTGAGGTCACCTGTGAACAGTCAGGTCAGTCCCTGGTAGGAACAGGTGAGGTCACATGTGACACCACAATTAATCATGACTATAATATATTCACTCGTATACTACGTAAAGCACAAGAACTAAATATACCATACAGAAAAATTAGATCAAATAAGAATGAGCCAAGGTGGATGACCAGAAAACTTAAACATGGCATAGGAATAAAGAAAGGAATTTATAAGAAATTAAAGGGAGGGGAGGAGCAGCTCAGAAATACGTATAATGAGCTATATAGGAATGTTAAGATAAATGTAAGGAAAGCAAAGAGAGAATATGAAACTAGAATAGCAAGAGAATCCAAGGCGAATCCCAAGGGATTTTTCCAGGTATATAGAACGAAGGTCAATGACAAAGTCAGGGAGGGGGGAAGTGATCGATGGCAGTGTTGAAATAAGGAAAGCATTGAACAGCTACTTTTTATCAGTTTTCACAGAAGAAATTCGCGAGGAAATTTCTGAGGTTTAACTGATATTTAGGGGAAAGGAAGAAGAGAAACTAAAGAATATCAGAATATCACTATCAGAAAAGAGGATGTTCATGGAAGGATAAATAACTTAGACAAAATCCCCAGGCCGGATGAAATTTTCCCTCAAGTCTTGAAAGAGTGTAGGGAACAGATTAGCGGACCCCTGGTAAATTTATTTACAAAATCATTAGACACGGGAGTTGCGCCAGACTTGTGGAAACAGGCAAATGTAGTACCCATATTCAAAAAGGGAGGCAGAGCATCAGCATCCAATTACCGGCCGATCAGTTTGACATCAGTAGTGGGGAAATTTCTTGAATCAGTTATAGCAAATAGCATCCGATTGCATTTAGAGAAAACCAAATTAATCTATGACTCTCAACATGGGTTTACAAAGGGAAAATCATGTCTAACAAATCTGCTGACGTTTTTCGGAAAGTCTTCGAGTTAGTAGATAATGACGAAAATTACGATGTTATTTACTTAGACTTTAGCAAAGCATTTGACAGAGTACCGCATCAGAGGCTTCTGAGAAAAGTTAAGGCTCATGGTATCGAGGGGAAAGTTGTAAATTGGACAAAATCATGGCTCACCGATAGAACGCAGAGGGTCAGCGTAGATGGTGTTAAATCTGAGTGGGGCTGTGTAACCAGTGGGGTTCCCCAGGGGTCAGTACTAGGCCCACTCTTGTTCATAATCTACATTAACGATCTAGATACTGGGAGCAGCAGTAACATAAGCAAGTTGCGGATGACGCCAAAATAGGGCGGCAGATTAATTCAGGAAAGGATGTAAATGCACTACAGGAAGATTTCAATAAACTGCAGGAGTGTTCAGAAAAATGGCAAATGAAATTCAACACCAGCAAGTGCAGCGTACTTAATATTGGAAGAACAAATACTGTCAATGTATACAACCTTAACAACATCAACCTAGAGAAGTCGACTTGTGAAAGAGACTTAGGGGTACTTGTAAGCGCAGACCTACGGCCGAGAAAACAGTGCGTTAATGTTCGAAATAAGGCAAACAGAGTATTAGGTTTTATATCTAGAAGTGTAAGTTATAAGAGTGCAGAGGTCTTATTGCAACTACATCTTGCGCTAGTCAGGCCGCACCTCGATCATGCGGTTCAGTTCTGGTGCCCTTATTATAGAATGGATATCAATTCACTGGAGTCGGTGCAGCGAAGAATGACGAATATGATTCCGGGACTTAGAAACCTTCCATATCATGATAGGTTAAAGAAACTTAACTTGCATTCCCTAGAAAGACGAAGAGTGCGGGGAGATATGATAGAAGTATTTAAGTGGGTGAAAGGAATCAATAAAGGGGATATAGATAAAGTTCTTATAATATCCGAGCAGGATAGGACTCGTAGCAACGGATTTAAGTTGGATAAGTTTAGGTTTAGGAGGGAGATTGGAAGTAACTGGTTCACAAATTGGGTGGTGGACGAGTGGAACAAGCGTAGCAACTTTATAGTAAGTGCTGGAATGCTGGAAACTTTTAAAAGGAGGCTAGATAGATTCATGGATGATAAAGAGTGGTAGTAACTCTCGACAGGAGCTGCCATGCACAGGCCAACCGGCCAGTTGCAGACTCCTTCTTGTCTTATGTTCTTATGTTCTTATGTAATTCACATCTTCTGGGGTGAGTACAGACTAAGGAGAAATACATAACAAGGCATATATATATACAGTAGAGGAAAGTGAGATCAAGTCCCTAGGGGACAGTGAGTGTCCACAATGGTCCGGTCACTAGGCAGTGTCCCTACTAATGCAGGTGTCTGCATTTACAAGGTTCCTTGCAAGGAATGGTGATATTTTTTTTTTACTTAGACCAGACAGGTAAAGATCTTGTAACTAGACTTAAACAACATAAATATAGTGTTAGGACAGGCCAGGAATCCAATGCTCTGTTTGTTCATTTGAGGGATAATAAGCAATGCATTGACTGGGATAATGCCTCCTCAATATTACCTTGTAATTCAATTGACAGTAGGAACATTATAGAATCCAGTCTCATTAAACATACCGAATCCGTCAACATGAATTTGAGTAATGGTATGTACAAACTGGATGATTTCGTAATTAAGAAGATTTGTAACCAGTTGAGAAGGTTGGGTCAGCTTACCCTCTGACCTGACTACTGACTGCTGCGGTGCTCTTTGAAGATTAGTAGGGTCATTACCTAATACCTGACCATTGTGGACTTGATCTCACCCTTCTCTGTATATATATATATATATATATATATATATATATATATATATATATATATATATATATATATATATATATATATATATATATATATATATATATATATATATATTGTTTTGTACTTCTCCTTAGTCTGTTGTTGGTGGATAGTTTTGTATGTACATCATTATGCTATTGTATTGTACTTGGAGCATTCGCAATTCATGAGATGTCCTGCTGTGTGGTAGCGTTTGGTATATTGTGGGTGGCATGTTGTTCTCTATTGCCTTTTTTGATGTTAAGTATAAGGGTATCTGTTTCGTTGTCAATATCTTCTTGTACTTTGCCTTGGAGATCTGGGATCTTAACTTGTTCTAGTTGCTTCCTGTAGCCTTCCCAGTCTGCTTTTTGCATTTGGAAACGTGGGGTTGTTGGTACTTGGATTGTGCTTGTAGATAGTTTTATTATCATTGGAATGTGGTCACTGGTAGTTAGTGGTCCTTGTTTTATATGGTAATTCAGGAATGCCTTGTTATTGGTGAAGACTTTGTCTGGGGTTGTTGTTTTGTTATTGCCAATGAATGTGGTGAAGTGTGGTCCTAGGTGGATCAGCTTCCCTGTGTTCATTATGGTATGCAGTGCAGTGCCCACCCTGTTCCTGTTTCCGTGGCCGAATATTGGACGTCTTGGGTTCAGATCTCTTATTATATATGTTGGGCAGTTGTAGTTCAATAGTTTTATCAAGTCT